CCGCTGCTGCTGCTGCTGCTGCTGCTGCTGCCGCCGCCGCAAGTGGTTCCGTTAAGGTGGCACAGAGCTGCCTCTGCTGCATTGTGAGGGACCTGGAAGGGGGCAGAAGGGAAGGAAGGAGAGGAGGCGAGTGAGTGCAGGCCGTGAGGCAAGCAAGGGCGAAGCACAAAGACCGACAGCAACAAAGACCCACAGCAACAAGTGCGGCAGAAAACGAGTGCAGTGGCAGGGAGAGGCACGAGGCTTACCTTGAGAGGCCAAGCCCATCCCGATACTCTCCCTTGCTGCACTGGGATTGCCATGCTGCAGTGCTGCCTCCCTCCCGTCCCCACGAGTCCCTGCACGGCCACAGGGGGAGGGGCGCGGGGAAGCGTCGGTGTTGACCCCAGCGCCCCTCTCCTCCACCTGCAATGCACACACACGGCAGTGGTCAGTATGCATGGCATGGGCACAACACAAGGCAGAGACCGGAACTGCCAAATGTGAAAGAGGGCCACTGGTTGAGGCAAGGCCACACGACACAGACGCCAAGGGAACCTGCACCTGAGGGGGGGACCTGCACCTGAGAGGGTTACCTGCACTACACCTGAGGAGATACCTGAAGAGAGGGGAGGGGGTCTGAGGCATGTAAACCGAGCTCAACCAGTGGCATTGTTTCAAAGGGAAGGCGAATGCACAACCGGCAAACGAACTGGCAGCAAGAAAGCAACAAGGCATGATGTGGCGGGCAAGGGTGAGGGCAAGGAAGTGGGTGACTTAGCTGATAGCGTGAGGGCGAGGTCAAGGCAGCTGCAGCACCACCAGCTGCCTCCCTCCGCAGCAGCCCTCCTCCAGGTGCCTCCTCCCTGCACGGCCATAGGGGAGGGGCGTGAGGGAGCGTCGGTGTTGACCCCACACCTCTCCCCGCCACCTGCAACGCGCACACACAGAGCTAGTCAGAGCGCGGTGGTGGGAGCAAGTTGAAGGGGAGACTGTGACTTGCAATCCAGCGCAAGGGAAGGGAGGAAGAACCACTGGTGGAGGCACGGCCATAAGCTGCAGACCCAAGGGCACCTGAAAAAAATACCTGAGGGGTGTACCTGCACCTGAGGGAATTACCTGAAGCAAGGGGGTCTGTAGCATGTGAGCAGTACTCAACCAGTGGCGTTGTTTCAAGAAGACGGTGCAACAGCAGATGAAACGAAACAAACGGTATGGCAGGCAAGGGCGCGGGCATGGAGGAACGGGTACTTAGCTGATTGTGTGGTGCAGGCGGAGGGGGTGCTTCAATGGAGAGTGGGCAGGGCGAGCGTGGCTTGAAGGGACGGACCTGCGAGGCAGAGAAGGGAGAGAGAGAGAGATAGAGAGATAGTAAGGGGCAGGTGGGAGGGAGTGACTCTTTCAAACGAGAAGACAGGCAGCAGTGTGAGTGCAAAAAAGACAGTGCATGTGACGCCAACCACAACCCCACAAGAGCCGCTACCAACCTGAACCTGCACCTGAACCTGAACCTGAGGGGGAGTGGGCTCGAGTGGAGTGTGGTGGCAGGGGCGATACTGCAACCTCGACCGTTGACGAGGCCGGCGCAGCTGCCCCGCTGCCCGCGCTCCTGCTGCCCGCCCTGGTGCTCCCCTCGCCTGCTGCACTCCCTCTGGCTTGTGAGGGCCTGGCAGGGAACGGATGGGTGGGCAGGGAGGGGAGGGAGGGCAGGGCGGAAAGGAAAGGCAGCCGAAAGTAAGAGGGGTTGCAATGGAGAAAAGTGTCAAACACACGTGCAACAGCAGAAACGACAGTGCATGTGACGCCAACCACAACCCCACAAGAGCCGCTACCAACCTGAACCTGCACCTGAACCTGAACTTGAGGGGGATTGGGCTCGAGTGGAGTGTGGTGGCAGGGGCGATACTGCAATCTCAACCGTTGATGAGGCCGGCGCTGCTGCCCCGCTGCCCGCACTCCTGCTGCCCGCGCTGGTGCTCCCCTCGCCTGCTGCACCACCCCTGGCTTGTGAAGGCCTGGCAGGGAAGGGAGGGCAGGGAGGGGAGGGGAGGGAGAGCAGGGCGGAAAGGAAAGGCAGCCGAAAGTAAGAGGGGTTGCAATGGAGAAAAGTGTCAAACACACGTGCAACAGCAGAAACGACAGTGCATGTGACGCCAACCACAACCCCACAAGAGCCGCTACCAACCTGAACATGCACCTGAACCTGAACCTGAGGGGGAGTGGGCTCGAGTGGAGTGTGGTGGCAGGGGCGATACTGCAACCTCAACCGTTGATGAGGCCGGCGCTGCTGCCCCGCTGCCCGCGCTCCTGCTGCCCGCCCTGGTGCTCCCCTCGCCTGCTGCTCGCCTGCTGCAACCCCCCTGGCTTGTGAGGGCCTGGCAGGGAGGGATGGGAGGGCAGGGAGGGGAGGGAGGGCATGGCGGAAAGGAAAGGCAGCCGAAAGTAAGAGGGTGCAACAGCAGATGAAACGAGAAGACCAAGCAGCAGCATGAGTGCACGAGGGAAAAGAGGCTCACCTTGTTCCAGACGACCCCATCCCGATACTCTCCCATCCCATCCCAGCCGAGTGGAGTGCTGCCCCCCTCCCCTCCCACCACTGCCACTCCCGAGTGAGCGACCTGCTGGGACGGGAGGGGGGGGGTTGGGACAGAGAGAGGAAGGGAGGAGGGGGGAAAGAAAACTGGGAAGTGAAGGGGGGCAGAGGAGTGGGGAGAGCAGTGAGGAAAGAAGCCAAGACAAGTGAAAGTGAAGAGTGCAGCAGGCGCAAGCATGATGTGTGCATGAATGGACTGCTGCAATGGCACACCCAAGAGACCTTGTACCAGCTGAACCAAACTAAAACAAATACCTGAGGCTGTACCAAGAAAAAAGATACCTACTACCTTGGGGGAGGGAGGTCTAATGGGTGTGACAAAGAGCAGTGAAAAAGGGAGTGCAATGCATGGTGCAAGCATGACAAGCAAAGCAAGCAACACAGTGCGAGGGTTGGGAGAAGAGAGTAAGGGCGGGGTACTTAGCTGTAGGTGGGTTGGGTGGAGAGCAGCTGCTGCCTGTGCACTCCATGCCAGCCGCCACTGCCACTCCCGGTCTGCTACTCTGCTTCCCCTGCTGCTGCCGCTGCCCCTCCCCTCCCCTCCGCTGCTGCCCTGCTGCTGCCCCGTGCTGCCCTGCTACAGCCTTCAATGTACTGGGAGGGAGGGAGCAAGGCAGGGGTAGGCAGGGGATCAAGGGATAGCAGTGAGAATGGGGAGAAGAGTAGGCAGAAGCTACAAGGAAGCAAGGGAGCAGAAACGTGAAGTCAGCATGGGGAGAAGACCAAGCAGCAGCATGAGTGCACGAGGGAAAAGAGGCTCACCTTGTTCCAGACGACCCCATCCCGATACTCTCCCATCCCATCCCAGCCGAGTGGAGTGCTGCCGCCCTCCCCTCCCACCACTGCCACCTGCACGGCCACAGGGGAGGGGCGTGGGGAAGTGTCGGTGTTGACCCCCGCCCCTCCCCTCCACCTGCAAGGCACACACGCAGAGCTGGTCAGTGGGCAGCGAGGGGATGAATGGTGAAAGTGCAAGAGCGAGAAAGGCAGTTGCAAGGCGGGAGAGGGGAGGGGCCACTGGTGGAGGCCAAGTTACAAACTGCAGACCCAAGGGCTGCACCTGAGGGGGTACCTGCACCTGAGAGGGTACCTGCACCTGAGGGGGTACCTGCACCTGAGGGGGTACCTGCACCTGAGGGGGTACCTGCACCTGAGGGGGTACCTGCACCTGAGGGGGTACCTGCACCTGAGGGGGTACCTGCACCTGAGGGGGTACCTGCACCTGAGGGGGTACCTGCACCTGAGGGGGTACCTGCACCTGAGGGGGTACCTGCACCTGAGGGGGTACCTGCACCTGAGGGGGTACCTGCACCTGAGAGGGTACCTGCACCTGAGAGGGTACCTGCACCTGAGAGGGTACCTGCACCTGAGAGGGTACCTGCACCTGAGAGGTTACCTGCACCTGAGAGGGTACCTGCACCTGAGAGGGTACCTGCACCTGAGAGGGTACCTGCACCTGAGAGGGTACCTGCACCTGAGAGGGTACCTGCACCTGAGAGGGTACCTGCACCTGAGAGGGTACCTGCACCTGAGAGGGTACCTGCACCTGAGAGGGTACCTGCACCTGAGAGGGTACCTGCACCTGAGAGGGTACCTGCACCTGAGAGGGTACCTGCACCTGAGAGGGTACCTGCACCTGAGAGGGTACCTGCACCTGAGAGGGTACCTGCACCTGAGAGGGTACCTGCACCTGAGAGGGTACCTGCACCTGAGAGGGTACCTGCACCTGAGAGGGTACCTGCACCTGAGAGGGTACCTGCACCTGAGAGGGTGACCTGAAGTAAGGGGATCTGCAGCATGTGAGCCGGTCCCAACCAGTGGCACTGATTCAAGAGGAAGGTGCGAAAGCGCATGCAAAAACGAGATGCCAGCAAAGTACACAAGACATGGCGAGGCAGGCAAGGGGTTGAGGGAACTTAGCTGTAAGGCATGAGAGCGAGCAGAGGGCAGCTGCAGCAGCACCAGGTGACTCCTTCCCCGGCAGCCCTCCTCCCCGCCTTCCCGTGTGCGTCCCTCCCTGCACGGCCACCGGGGAGAGGCGTGAGGGAATGGCGGTGCTGACCCCACGCCCCTCCCCCCCACCTGCAAGGCACACACGCAGAGCTGGTGAGTAAGCAGTGAGGGAATAAAGGGTGAAAGTGCAAGAGCAGAGCATACAAGGCAAATGAGAGGGAGGGGCCACTGGTTGAGGCACAAGCACAAGGCACAGACCCCCAAGGGGACCTGAGAGGCTGAAGGGCTGTAGGGGGCTGAACCAGAACCTGAACCAGAACCTGAACCTGAACCTGAACCTGAATTGAGGGGTTTACCTGAATCTGGGGGGCAGGGGTGTGTGGCTTGCGAGTCGAGCCCCAACCAGTGGCGATATTTGGCGGCAAACAAACTGGAAAAATAAACGTGAAGCAGAACAGTAGGCAAGGCGAAGCACTTAGCTGAAAGTTGGAGCAGTGGTGGAGGTGGCGTGGGGGGGTGCAGTGAAGAAGAGTGGGCAGGGGCGAGCGGAGAAGTTGTGTCCTTGAGAAGAGGGTTGAAGGGAAGGACCTGCGAGGCAAGAGAGGGGGGAGGGGGAGAGAGCAAGTAAGAGGCAGGCGGGAGGGAGCAACCGTTGCAAGTGAGAAGAGCGACTGACAGCAGTGCGAGTGCAGAAACGACGGTGGATGTGATGCCGCCCACAGCCCCACAAGAGCCACTACCAACCTGCACCTGAACCTGCACCTGAACCTGAACCTGAACCTGAACCTGAACCTGCACCTGAACCTGAGGGGAATTGGGGCTCTAGTGGGGTGTGGTGGCGGGGCGATACTTGCAACCTCGACCATCCATGAGGCAGGCGCTGCTGCCCTGCTGCCCGCCCTCCTGCTGGCAAGGGGCAGGCAAGGGAGGGAGTAGAAGGCGTGGGGGGCCGTGGAGGAATGAGCTGAAGTCCAGGAACAGGAGGTGGGTGGGAGAGTGAGAGTTGCAATCGGTAATGCGGGTGATGCGTGCGTGAAAAGGGTATGATGTGAGCATGAGTGGGTATGATGTGAGCATGAGTGGGTATGATGTGAGCATGAGCACGAGCATGAGCATGAGTGCACAGCCAGGCAGGGCGGATCACGCTGCAGACCTCAAGACGGACGGACGCGGTCAGCTAAGCAGGACGGACGGACGGACGCAGGCAGGCAGACGGACAGCTAGGCATGACGCCTAACCAAGAGAAGACGCCTAGCTGACGCTAACCCAGAGCTAGGGGAAGAGACAGGGAGGTCTGCAGGTTCGCCTTGGGCTGGCATTGAGTGGCGTGGCGTGTGCAATGAATGAGCAATGGAGAGAGAAAGGGAGGCGAGGCGAGGGTATTTATCTGCGCCACGGATAGAGGCAGTGCGATGGGGAGTGGAGTGGCGGATTGAAGTGCCACGTCCACCGCTGTTGCCTGTGACTTGACGCTCGCGCGCTCGCGAGCAGCACAGCACGCCCGCTCGCGCCGAACGCGCATCGCCCAACGCGCCTGCCATACCACGGAAAAAAAAGCGACCAAGTCGGACATTGAGAAGTCGGAAATACGCGACACCAACCACGATACGCTAATCCGCGCGAAACGATGGGCGAAACGATGGGCGAAAAGATGGGCGACAAGTCAACTGAAGGGAACTGCGCGGACTAACCTGGTCAGCTTTACCGCGTTGGCATCGCTGCACGTCGCCGACTGGAATCGCTGCACGTCGCCGACTGGCATCGCTGCACGTCGCCGACTGGCATCGCTGCACGTCGCCGACTGGAATCGCTGCACGTCGCCGACTGGCATCGCTGCACGTCGCCGACTGGCATCGCTGCACGTCGCCTACTGGAATCGCTGCACGTCGCCGACTGGCTTCGCTGCACGTCGCCGACTGGAATCGCTGCACGTCGCCGACTGGCATCGCTGCACGTCGCTGACTGGCCATCGCTGCTCGTCGCCGACTGGAATCGCTGCACGTCGCCAACTGGCATCGCTGCTCGTCGCCGACTGGAATCGCTGCTCGTGGCCGACTCACGTCGCGGACTGGAATCGCAGCCTCGCAAGAGCTCGGTGCCTCGCAAAAGCTCGTCGCCAGCGAGAAGAGCCGTCTGCGACGAGAAACAATCGTCGCGAGCCAGACGAACCGTCGCTAGCATTGAGCATCGTCGCCGGCGAGAAGAATTGCGACCAACGTTGAATGCCGTCGCCCGAAGCTAAATAGCCGGAAAGGAATCGTCGTCGCACAAGAGAAGAACCGTCGCCAGCGAGAAGGATCGCCGTAAGCGTCGACTATCGTCGTTGGGGAGTAATACGAGGCTCATCGCCAGCAAGAAAAATCGCCGCGCAACATCGCCGGCGACAAGAAGTCTGACTAGCGTTAGAAATCGTCGCCCGCAAGATGCTCTATTCGCCAGAAAGGAATCGCCACACGAATGACGAACCGTAGCCGTCTTTCGATTCACTCGAGCAGCGAGAAGAACCGTCATGAGAAGCGTCGACTATCGTCACTAGCGAGTAAAATCGACTATCAGGCCGTCGTCTCGCTGAGGAATTGCTGGAATGTGGCGAGGAACTCGCAGGGAGTAGAAGAACCAGAGACCAGCAATAACAATCGCCGGCGATTGGAATGGTCGCTTGAATGTCCAAAGAGACTGCTTGAGTTTCTGTGCGACTACGATAGCGAAAGTGCGAAGGAGTGCATGGAGCTGGTTGCGACGGGCGAGCTCTGTGTGGTATGGCTGGGCGACTGAGACGACTGAAGAGAGTTCTGCGCGAGGGGAGAAGTGGGAGTTGGAGTTGCGCGGGTGGTGGACACAGGCTTGGCTTTGTCGGTGAGCTGATCTGGCGCAATCAGCAAGATTCTGCCCATTTCGGCGCGAAGCTACTCCGCCCGTTAGATCACATCTTCGCTCAGCCGCAGCTGGTGATCTCAAAGCCTTTCGCGCGAGATTCCCGCAAGAACCCAAAAGTGCGCATTCCGCAGCCTATCCGTTGGTTGGTGGGATCCGGAATCCGGAAGCTGGGGAAATGCTCGGCAAAAATCTCCATGTGGCGGAAGTTCCAACATGTGTCAGCCAATTTGGTGGAGCGCTTCCGCCATCCCACGGATTTTCCAGCCCAACCGTTGCCCTCAAGCGGGTTGACGACAATCACGATGTACGCGAAATATTTCAATGTCCCAGTAATCTGCCCAAATCCCCACTATGCGATAGAAAGGTGTTTCGCAAACCGAATTCACTCGCAAGATGGTTCGTCATCCTTCCCGCAAAACCATCTTTCCGCCTCTACTTCGCGCGCTTTTGCGGCCATGCACGATGCATAAATCATGTCGGTGGGGCCTCCTCTTCCGCTGCGAGTCCAACCTCGGGATTGGCTGAATCCTTTCTGGGCTGTGCTGGGCTGAAACCTTCCTGCGATGGACAGAAACAAACCAGACACAAGCAACCTGTCTGAAAGCCTTTTTACCGATCCGAACCCGTGCGTTTCTTAATTATATCCAAAATCTCAACCCATTCAGCCAAGGCACAGCAGCGGGTGCTGCAGAGAGCAGAGCCAAGTGCAATCTGTTGCCTCAAGTCTCGTTTTCCCCACCAGAGCCTTCTCCTGCTCTCCGTTTTCGCCGCTCCACCTCCGTTCTCCTCTCACGTTACCGCATTATGTCGAAAATCATTCATAGCGTCCACGCAGAATTATCCGGCGTTTTCCTAGCCAACTCTATGCGTCATCAACAGAGACTGTGGAGCCGCTAGCAACCATCACGGACGAATTTTGACGCTGGAAACGGACTCCATCGTCAGCAACGATCTCCTTAGTTAACAGAGCCGTAATCTCCGCCAGCGGCAACGCTTCTCTCCGTTAGCTTCGATGCCATCGTCGAAAGCAGTTTTTGCAAGCAGAAACGACTGTCGTCGTCAGCAGCTTCGTGTTTCTACGTCGGCAACAATCAGGCCAGCCGTCAGCGGAAATATCGGTCGGAAGCCATTGTCCTCCGGCAGCGCAGATTTCGCTGTCAAAAGCAACGATTTCTCCGTCAGCAGAAACGATTTCGTGATTAGAAGGGATGTCCGGACGTTTTCAACAGTTTCGGCCGTCCGTCAGCAATTTCCCGCCGTCAGCAATTTCCGCCGTCAGCAGTAACGATCTTCGAAGTTAAAAGGGATGTCCGCACGCTATCAGCAGTTTCGGCCGTCCGTCAGCAGTTTCCGCCGTCAGCAGCAACGCTTTCAAAAGCTTCAACCTTTACCAGACATCGACCCCCCTGCTGCGACCTCCACGATCTCGGCTCATTACCGCATCCAACTTCGAAGCTCGCGACGCGCGATATCAGAATCGCGTCGCTGTCGCTCGTCCACCCGATGCCGATTGCTGCATGGACGGTTGTTTCGGTCTCGAACCGAGATTTCCCTGCATGAGGTACTCTGCTATTGTCCGAATGTTCAGATTAACCGCGTGAACTGCTTCTAGAAACCTTCGTAGCGAAGTACTTTTCTGATTCATGTCTCGCGTCTGAATGTGCAGAATCTAATCGTAACGCGCTGCACCGTTGAGGCGAATCCGCGGAGAAGCAACGCGGCGCAGTGCTGCATGGGGAGCAGCAGCTGCTCTACACCCAACACCCCACAGCTAAGTACCCTCGCTGCCTCTCTTCTCTCTCCTTGCTCTCATGTCTTGTTTGCATTTACACCATGCATCAAACTCGCTTCTTTACTGCCCTCTGTAACGCTCAAGAGACCTCCCTCCCCCAAGGTACCAGGTTCAGGTATTAGGTTGAGTCAGGTTCAGATGGTACGAGGTCTCTTGGGTGTGCCACTGCAGCAGTCCATTCATGCACACATCATTGTTACACTCACCACACTCTTCGCTCTTATTCTACTCGCTCTCTTTTGTTTCTTCATTCACCACCCTCCCCACTCCTGCTTCCCCTTCCCCATTCCCTGTCCTCTCCTCCCCCTCCTCCCTTCCTTTCTCTGTCCCAATATGCCCCCCCTCCTCCCAGCAGGTCAATCACACGGCAGTGGCAATGGCGGGGGACATGGAGTGCACAGGCAGCAGCTGCTCTCCACCCAACCCACCTACAGCTAAGTTCACGCCCTTCCTCTCTTCCCCCAACCCTCGCACTGCGTTGCTTTGCTTGTCATGCTTGCACCATGCATTGCACTCCCACACTGCTCTGCTCTTTGTCACACCCATTAGACCTCCCTCCCCCAAGGTAGTAGGTATCTTTTCTTCGTACAGCCTCAGGTATTTGTTTTAGTTTGGTTCAGCTGGTACGAGGTCTCTTGGGTGTGCCATTGCAGTAGTCCATTCATGCACACATCATGCTTGCGCTTGCTGCACTCTCCACTTTCACTTGTCTTGGCTTCTTTCCTCACTGCTCTCCCCACTCCTCTGCCCCCCCTTCACTTCCCCGTTTTCTTTCCCCCCTCCTCCCTTCCTCTCTCTGTCCCAACCCGCTCTCTCCCGTCCCAGCAGGTCGCTCACTCGGGAGTGGTAGTGGTGGGAGGGGAGGGGGGCAGCACTCCACTCGGCTGGGATGGGATGGGAGAGTATCGGGATGGGGTCGTCTGGAACAAGGTGAGCCTCTTTTCCCTCGTGCACTCATGCTGCTGCTTGGTCTTCTCCCCATGCTGACTTCACGTTTCTGCTCCCTTGCTTCCTTGTAGCTTGTCCATACTCTTCTCCCCATTCTCACTGCTGTCCCTTGATCCCCTGCCTACCCCTGCCTTGCTCCCTCCCTCCCAGTACATTGAAGGCTGTAGCAGGGCAGCACGGGGCAGCAGCAGGGCAGCAGCGGAGGGGAGGGGAGGGGCAGCGGCAGCAGCAGGGGAAGCAGAGTAGCAGACCGGGAGTGGCAGTGGCGGCTGGCATGGAGTGCACAGGCAGCAGCTGCTCTCCACCCAACCCACCCACAGCTAAGTACCCCGCCCTTACTCTCTTCTCCCAACCCTCGCACTGTGTTGCTTTGCTTGTCATGCTTGCACCATGCATTGCACTCCCTTTTTCACTGCTCTTTGTCACACCCATTAGACCTCCCTCCCCCAAGGTAGTAGGTATCTTTTTTCTTGGTACAGCCTCAGGTATTTGTTTTAGTTTGGTTCAGCTGGTACAAGGTCTCTTGGGTGTGCCACTGCAGCAGTCCATTCATGCACACATCTTGCTTGCGTTTGCTGCACTTTTCACTTTCACTTGTCTTGGCTTCTTTCCTCACTGCTCTCCCAACTCCTCAGCCCCCCCTTCACTTCCCCGTTTTCTTTTCCCCCCTCCTCCCTTCCTCTCTCTGTCCCAACCCACCCCCTCCCGTCCCAGCAGGTCGCTCACACGGGAGTGGCAGTGGTGGGAGAGGAGGGGGGCAGCACTCCACTCGGCTGGGATGGGATGGGAGAGTATCGGGATCGGGTCGTCTGGAACAAGGTGAGCCTCTTTTCCTTCGTGCTCTCATGCTGCTGCTTTGTCTTCTCTGCATGCTCACTTCTTTCGTTTCATCTGCTGTTGCACCCTCTTACTTTCGGCTGCCTTTCCTTTCCGCCATGCCCTCCCTCCCCTCCCTG